GGTGGTTGTGGCTATCTGAGAGGATTAGCTGACGCTCCTGTGTCTGCACATGGGCACCTTCGCTGCTAAATTATCGAGTGCTAGAAACAGCATTCCTGCCCCCTAATCACATAAGAAATGCACCTTTCTGTCACCTCATAAACAACGGACTAATATATATTTGCTATGGCTTGTCAGAATTAATTAAGCATAAGTCTTCTTAAATTGTTAGTCATGGGCAATGAATTGTGATAGATTGGTATGGACGTCATGGCTGACAAAGGCAGTGATCAGCTACATGGGATTGTTGTTCTTGTGTTAACTTTGCTTGAATAGGCAGTTGGGGACATTTAGAAAACCTGTACTGATAGCGATGAAGTTCCTGTAATTTGTTTTATATTATTAATAATGGTGAAGTCATTAGCATTAGTATTTTTAATAATGCTCAGAAACTGACTCATTTTAAAGCAGAACTCCAAAATGGGATAAAAATGAATAGCCCAATAAAAGATAAAATAAAACCAGCCTTCGATGCAGAGATTTCCCCCGCAGTACTTTTTTTTTGTCACTAGATGTCCTCAGTCTGATGGCAGCATCACTCAACCTACAACCGCTGAGCCCAGGTTATCCTGGACCCACCCCAACCTGTGACTGGACAGTGAAAAGAGAAGCAACACAATGATGAGCTCATCTCTCTGTCACTCTGCTGCTTTCTCCTCCTATCAGTATGCTTCTTGTCGGCACATAAACTGATTAGCTCCTTGTACTGCTTCCTCTCACACTCCTTCCTCTCACAGAAATATTGAAGTCAGACACAGTGAGGCAACTAGAATTTTGAATAATTTAGCAGTAGTAGACTACATATTCCAGATTAGATTAGTCTCTATTCAATGTATTATTTTAAATGTATTAGAATCCAGCTATTTCTCATAACCAGACAGGCTTAGTGAGGAACCCTAAACCCTTTCACTAATGTGAAGCACAGAAGAGCCATCTTAAAAGGTATCTGCATGTCTCACTTTCATCACAAGCCAAATTATTTTTATAAGCTTCTGGGTCAACTTTACTTCCAGAACCGCTGGTGTACAGAGCAGATATAACTCATCTCATAAAACCATGTACTGCAAACTGTATACAGCTATTTCAGATTGCCCTTCATCAGTGCTGTGTATGGAAACCATGGCTTGGACAAGACAGTATAACCAGGGGATTTATGAAGACATTTATTTAATGTATTTATTATTGGTATTTATATAGCGCCAACAATTTACACAGCACTTTATATAGTGCATATTTACCTCAGTCCCTGCCCTCGAGGAGCTTTCAATCTAAGGTCCCTATCTCATATGCATACAGGCCAATTTAGACAGGAGCCAATTAACCTTCCAGCATGTCTTTGGAGTGTGGGAGGAAACCCATGAAAGCACAGGTAGAACATGCACACTCCACAGATAGTGATCTGGCCATTGCCAATATTTAATTTGAATTTTAAGAAAAGAACATTTGAGGGAAGATCTTTGTGGGTGACCCTACATTCTTGCCCTATACTCATAACTTGAGTGATCTTTCTGCAGACACAGGAGCATAGTTCTGAAGTGGACATAGTCCTAAAGTAAACATGGTGGCATGGCTATAACATAGACATAGTTCTAAAGTAGACATTGCAGTATAGTTATGACAGTAGTTCAAATGTAAACATTGCAGCACAGTTCTAAAGTGGACATAGTTCTAAAGTAAACATTGCCACATATTAATAAAGAGGACATGTTTCTAAAGTAAACATTACGGCGCGATTATGAAGTGGTTATGGTTCTCAAGTAGACTTCGCAGCCAGAGGCAGCTCTAGACTTTGTGAGGCCTTAGGCGAAAATAAAATGTGAGGCCCTCACTTACACCCATCATATTTTAAGACTAGCCTTGAATCCTAGCAACTAAGAATTCACAGTCCCAAAAGCTAGAATGTAATTTCTGTCTCATATCTAATTCTACAAATATCTATATAGTTGTCAGGCAAGTCGGTACAGTGGGCGGTCAATGGTCAGGCATGTTAGTACAGTGGATGGTCAGTTGTCAGGCAAGTCGGTACAGTGGGTGGTCAGGCATGTCAGTACAGTGGGCAGTCAATGGTCAGGCATGTCAGTACAGTGGGTGGTCAGGTATATTGGTACAGTGGTTTGTCAGTGGTCAAGCAAGTCGGTACAGTGGCTGGACAGGCATGTCAGTACAGTAGGTGTTCAGTGGTCAATTATGTCGGTACAGTGGGCGGTCAGTGGTCTGGCATGTTGGTACAGTGGATGGTCAGTCATGCTAGTACAGTGGGTGATCAGTGGTCAGGCATATTGGTACAGTGGGCGATCAGTAGTCAGATCACCACTCACTAGGGGGGCAGGGATTGATATGAGGAACCAATGTTCCTCTACCAAGTTGGCCACCTCCACAAAAAAACACAGCATGTAATGAGGGTGGTAAAATGTACTTTACCAGTCACCTTTTTCAGAAAATGAGCCGATGAATTTGTCAATGGTCAAGTCATTAATTCATGATTCACCATGGATTTCTATGGAATATGCTACACTGAGTCCTGCTTCCAGAGATGATGTTTCATCATATCCTGGTAGTGGAGACTCAACACACGTCACTGTGCCCATTGTAGTGCCAGAGTGACCTATCAGCAGGCAAGAACAGGGCAGCGTGACTATTATTATGCAAGCAGCAACTCAGGGGGGTAAATTCTGAGTTGCTAAATCAGCAGCCTGGGACCGCACTGAACTGCAGTGATTCTATAGCTAATGCTATCAGCTGCTTTCTGATGTTGCTTGTAATTTCACTGATTCACAAGTATTGAAACCCTGTGAAGTAATAGCTATTCACAATCCACTAAGGAGAGCATGTTGTTCTACAAACATAATGTCTATAATGGTTTGCTTCCGTTCTAGTTTTCAGTGAGCTTTTATTACACATGAAGTATTAGACCATAAGCATCAAAACGTCTATGCATAACTCAAAGGTGCAAACAGCCACACGTGAGTTGTTGTTTTGTTTGTTTTGTATTTCATGCCTTAGCATCAGTACTAACCGTGTTATTAAGGGCTAAGCTTGCTTTTGTCCAAGGCTGAGTGGGGATGAGGTGCTGGATCACTAGCTTTCTCTAGTAGAAAAGGAGAAATATTTGGGTAGCTCGCTTCTGGCAGCTCTTCACAAAAGGAGGGGTCCTCCAAAGGAGGGGATGCCCAGAATGAGAAATCTACATGAATGTAGGCTAAAAAGAAAGCACAAGGTAATCGTTTCAAGAGTCCAAAAAATCCTTTCTTGGTTTTACAAATGGTGACAAGAAGATATGCACAGCCCATGCGTTTCAGGGGTCAGGGGTCAGGAATCCACTTTCATCAGGGCCTAAGCAATGGACCACAGGCCACTGCTGAACTCTAAACGTACTGCCCCTCCTATATTCTCGGCAGGAGTGGAAAGCCCTGGTGTGACGATTTTTACCAGCAGGTCAGCATTTGTACAAATGCTGAACTGCTAATAAACATCTTAAGCCCTGATGAAGGGGGATTCCTGACCCCTAGAACATGTTGGCTTTACATACAGTATCTTGTCACCATTTGTTTTTTTTGGGACTCTTGAGACGATTACCTGGTGCTATTTTCTAGCCTTCATTCACAAAGTTTATTTTTCTAACCATGTTTTTTTATTATACCCATATTTAGGGCTTAACATAAAAACATGGCCACAACCCCCAAAGCACTTACCCCTTACACGAATCGAAGGATTCTTCTCCCCACAGTCTACTGTCAAAAGGTTTGACCCCCCCACCTCTCCCCAGTACACACTTACCTTTCCTTCACTATGATTAGTGCAAGGAGCTACAGGAATACCCAGTACTTCCGGGTATAGAGGAGTTTGTGACTTACTATAGCTTTATTTAGTAGTAGCCACTTGTAGCTTCCCAATAACTCACTGTCGATGGCTAAATGAAGTGGAGTGAGCAAAAGGAACCATATGCTGCTTGGTAGGGGAAATTAAAGTGAACCTGTTGCTTTGCCCTCTATGGGCAAAGCACGGGTTTATTTTAAAGTGTATGTAAAGCCAAAGATGTTCTCTTTAGTTTTCAGTTAGGGACTGTTAGGCATTAGGACGCTCCCATTGAAGTCTTTAGAGCCGATTCTGTCTGAATGGAATCTTATGTATTTTTTCGAGCTTCAAGTGACAGACGACACAATGCTCAGATGTAGATGGGCACCATTGAAAATAATTGGATTCTTCATGCTGAGCATTGCCGTGCTTTGGGAAACCATAAACAAAACTCTCAGGTGAGCATGGGGGATAAAAAGTAAAATAAATCCTCTCTTGGACAGGTATGATTATAATAGGTTTCCTCTTTGGAAGATTTCCCACCTATTCCTGGTATGATGTGAACTGTAGAATTTAGAATTTTCCATCAATTCATGATGACAATGTTCACAAGGATACAAAGACATATTTAGGGGAATTTATCAAAACTGGAGCAGATGTGCATAGTAACCAATCAGATTCTATCCTTCATTTTCACAGCTTAACTGAACAAACTGAAGTGAGAAACTGAATGGTTACTATGGGCAACTGCTCTGGAATCTGTCTACTCCAGATTTGATAAATTCCATCCAGTGAATCTTTATCGCAAAATAACTTGACAGAAGACTTCACTACTCTGTACAAAACTAAAAAAATGTTTTGGCTATACATACACTTTGAGGAAGCGGCAACATGGAGGATGTAGGTCATCAAATCCAGTTAGAAAGGTGCAAACAGACAATCTGTGCGTTTTAGTTATCAGCGATAATAACCTCAAGTCATCTGTCTATAACGGTTTATCTCTGCGCATTTCTGAATCTCACAGCAACAACCATGTATAATTATGTCAGACTCTTACAAATACAATTTGCTTCAGGCTGGCAAAATCCACAGCAAAGTGGCCAGCCGCAACACACTGTGAAGTGCCAGACCTTATAAAGAAAAGAAGGAATTAGTGACTTTCTTACTTTCTTCGATGTCAGGATTTCACGCACCTCTTGCTGGAAATCAATAAACCGATCGTGGTAGCTGGCCATGCACCACACTTCCATGAAGTAGCTGTTGTAGGAAGAAGAAAAAATTGAGTTATCCGGTGAACTTCTCATTAACGGCTAATAAAGTATTTACCTGATTTTCTTCTTCCCCTTTTTTTTTAAACTTTCGTAATTTATAGCTCGGGGCCCATCAGGATCGTTTGTTCATAAAATGCCTCCCCATAACAGCATGGTCAATCAATTTTTTTAATGGATGTTCCTGATGTACAGCCAGCTCTGGTAATTACATTTAAAGTGGCTTAATTCAGAGCTGTGGCAAGGCCCAGTGAAGAATCCTGATTTTATCAGAATTTAAAAGCCTGCAGACCTGTGAGGGACCATGACTCCATTATCCGGCCTCATTTGAGAAAAGCAGATTGTAGGATTAACTGAACTGGTGCATAAACAAATTAAATTTGTGTAGACAATGACACAAATGTTGTTCAGCATTAAGGTCTAAGGATTAATACGTGACAGGAAAACAGGCCATGGCGGTGTCGCAGTGTGATGACTAGATTGCTACTCTAATGCCAAAAGTTCTTGTTTTGTCCTAGCAAGCCTCTTTATAAGCATTATAATTCATGTACAAACATGTGTGGCCTTCGCTTCATAACTATAAGTTTTGTCTGTGGGTCATGCGGGCATACATCCCGCTCAATTCCGACCAAGGAATATTAACCGAACGTTGGTGTACAAACATGAAGCTTGTACTGGAAATATTTTCTTCATCTTCTGCCCTTAATGAAAGCCAGGTTTTACTAATATTGCTGTTTCTCTGTTAATGGGAAAGTGTCATATCAGTATTCAGTCCAGTGCTCAAAAACAGTTTTATTACTTCATAAAACACCCCCTGTGTTGGGTGAATGTGCCATTTCGTGTAATCTATACTGTCGTCATCAGAACATGCTGTTTACACCATCTGACAGCTGTCAAACGGCTACATTAGGCCTCATATGGCTACAATTCATCCATTCTAGTCAAAGCCATATTCACTTTTGGACAGTCGTGTTCCCTAATGTGGGTGGTGCTTCTGAAGGTGGGTGTGTCTTATTGTTACCATAGGTGGAGTCTAATTTTTCCATGAATTCATTTTAGGTACGTCTGTTCATCACTGTCCATCGATCCCAGTCTTTGTAGATCACATCTCCCAGACTGTCCCTCAAAGTCTGCCAGGCATAATGTACCCCTTATGAATAATAAGGATATTAAGGATTCTTAGAGGAGATTATGCAGGAAGCCTGCTTGCTTATGCATTTAGATGGTCAATAAATCCTAATGTTTTTATAATTTACAACAGGAAATATATTATGCCATATATATATATATATAAATACTGT